CCCCGCCCCAATCAAAAAATCAAATCTCTGTTGCTCCATTGTAATATTTTTCAGTTCCACAAGGTGAAATATTGTATCTAGGACACAGAATTCCTTATTCTTTGGTTATATTGATACTCATTTTCTCAAATTTCTAGTTTTAGTTCATGAAGCTTAAGTGTGCTGTCTTATTTTTGCAAGGGAAACTCTGGCTTTTGCTTGGCCTGGGAAACACCCTATGCCAAAATAATCCTTTATTTTCCTTCATGTGCAGCTATTGTTACTCAAAATTCTAGAATGACTAAAGTGTTACTTGTCAAAAGAGAAATTTGAAGAATGAATTATATCAACTGTAACTTTAAATTGATGGTTTAGAAGTAAAAGCGAATGACTTTTTGAAGTCTAATATGCAAACCTTGGTGAATTGCTCAGACTTCTGCCTAATTTAACGACAAAGGGAGACCTCACTTCTAGTTTGGTGTTTACTGTATAAATCTCTCTTCTTGTCAATATAAACATTAGAAGCATTTCCAATCAAAAAAGAAACTTTGAAGCATTTATGTCATCAATAAGCTTACTTTCCTATTTTGCGTACCATTTTTTTTTTTTTTCTGTTTAAGGAAAAGTAAAAAAATATATAAAATAGAAAAAGGGATACATCTACTGAGGGAAGTGGCCTGCATATCTTTGTACAAAGAAATTAGTTTCGTCTGTTACCACTTATCAACAGTCACAATGGTGATTGTCATATCTGAGGAGGTTCAAGTAATTGACTATTTAAACCAATATTACATGCTAAGAGTATGACAATTTTAACATATAACATATCTCTATGATCTCTAATTATTTGATGGATTAAGCTTCTAGTGCATAATTGAGTAATATAGCAGCTTGCTTCTCTGAAAACCCAAGTGCTAAATATGAGCCCATGATTTCCTCCGACGATTTCTATAGCCTCTTCCTGATTTTGTTGAAGTCCACCTCCTTTGTTAAGCATTACCGTGATTGGCCCGTCAAAATATCCCTGACTTTGAGGATTACAGACGTTATGACGACTCAAGATTGGTGGACCAGTGTAGAAAACTGATTTCAATAAGGAAATGACAGCCATTTCACAAAGGAATTTTTGTCTTCTTTCTGTATTCCAGAGAATAGGGAGGAATAAGAAATAGATAAACTTGTTACAGCAGAGTGAACTCTTTTAGCATAATGGAAAATGGAAGTGGGAGTCAAAGGCCCCAGGCTGGATAGTGGACGTTTTCAATCAGACTTTTGAAATACAGTTGTTTTAGGTTGGTGATTGCGTAATCTTAAGTAAAATGGAACTAAAGCAAGCTCTCACAAATACTGTTTGCAACTGAAAAAATCGGCGTCCAATATTTTTCTTCCTAACTGTTTATCCCATTGATTAAAAGGCCATCTATACTTTTGTCATCATTGAATATCTTCCCTGCATAATTATTTTTATTCGGTTGTTTAGACAAAGCATATTGGGGGATCCACCTCAGTACTTAGAGAAAATTTTGAAAGTCCAAATTCTTAGGCAGAGTAGGAAAATTTAAGGAACATGATACTTGTAGCACTCGATATCATTCAAGGAATGATGTGTCACTAATCATGAGCGGAGGTAGCCTTTTGGCTATGGGTTCAATTGAGGTAAAAATTTATTAAATCTCAATAAATATTTAATCTGGACCCTAAATTTTGACAGTATAATGATCAATTCTGAGAATCTTAAAAAGAAACAGCATAAAAGATTTCACCTGGACATTAAACCAGATTGTATAGCTTCTTCAAGATGTGGCCAATTTTGATTTACAAGTGAATGGTTTGAATGAACAGTTACTAACAAGAACCGCTTACTAGTATAAAAGAGTAAATTTCTTGAGGTAAATAACATGACTGATAGCATGTTACTGAAACATCCACAGCTACTTATGAATTATCCTTCGTGATATCTATGAAATGGAATAATGGATAGTGAAAAGACTAACTCAAAAAGCTAATGTGCTACCACTGGTCATACTGCAAAACAACAGCTACATTATAGAGACTTTGTCTAATAAGGGGATTGCGAGAAATAACTTTAAGCTCAGAATAATAAATGTAACATATCTGTACTACCTCCGTCTCATATTATATCGTGTTTCTCTTTTACACGCCTCTTAAGAAATATTAATTAGGAAATGGATTAGACTATTCTACCCTTATTTATGCCTTAAGATATAATCTCTCTTTATTGAATATTTATTCTATTTATGTATTATCTCTATCTTCAAGAGCAATTTTACTAAGGGTAAAAAAAAAGAAAAAAATAATCAATTTTGTCTTGAACTTCTAAAATGATAAATAATTTGAGACAACTATTTTTAGTAACTATGACTATTAATATGAGACAGAGGGAGTATAAGGAATGCCTTATTTAGTGAAAAGAAAAACTTGATAAGAGGAAGAAGAAAGGAAAATATAAGACATTTAGACATGTGTCTTTCGTATATATTTGTTACTTAACTATATGTATTCTCACTTTTTTTGACTGCTAATATTAAATTGTTTTGTCTGGTATAGATACCCAATGCGAGTAAAGTATTAACAAATGGGGATTCTATTCACGATTGATTCAAAGTAGGACTTGGTCAAATTTGAGTTTGTTAGTAGTGTCCTATATTCTTGGATTTATTAACAGTAGCTATAGTATAGTTTTATGGTTTACCGGTAGTGGATAGTTGTTGCTTTATTAGTGGTAGTAGTGGTCAGTTTAGTGGCTTAGTGGCCTGTTTCTTTGTAAGCCTATATAAAGGCAACATTACTTCAGTTTATTAATTAATGAAGTTAAGAATATCCAGCACAAATCTTGTACTCTGTAGCTTTTCTCCTCAGATTTTCAATCTGTTGCTTACTTTACTCTTTGGTATCAGAGCCTTGTTATAGAGAGTGAGTAGACGAAAACACAACCTTGAATGATATATTTGAGGCAAAGAATAATGGCAAGTAACAACAGTGCATCGGGTGCAGCACAACCACTCATTCTTGTCTTCAAGGGAGAAGGCTATGAGTTCTGGAGTATGCGTATGAAAACTCTACTCAAGGGTATGTAGATCCTGATGAAAAAAAATTAACTGCGAGATAACAAGAAGAAAGACGCTAAAGCGTTGGTGATCACAGATTGCAACATCGACCACATCAAAGCAAGCTTGGTCTATTATGCAGAAAGAGTTTCAAGGTGATTCAAAGGTCATTGTGGTGAGACTACAGTCACTTCAGCATGACTTTGAAACCTTAATGATGAAAAGTGGAGAATCCGTTGCTGATTTTTTGTCAAGTGCAATGGCAATTGTCAGTCAAATGCAATCCTACAGCGAGAAGGTTACAGATCAAACCATTGTGGAAAAGGTATTGCGAAGTTTAACTCCAAAATTTGATCATGTAGTTGCTGCCATAAAAGAGTCTATAGATCTGTCAACTTTTTCTTTTAGGTCAACTTTTTCTTTTAGATTAACTAATGGGGCCTTTGCAAGCACATGAGACAAGAATTAATCGATCACTTGAAAAGAATGAGGAAAAAGTTTTTCAAATGAAACAGGCAACCATAAAAAATGCAGATGGCGAATATTCAGCAGGTAGAGGTCATGGAAGAGGAGGACTTCGTGTTCGCGGTCGTAGTAATAGTAGAGGCAATAGAAGAGGCAGAGGTCGCTTTGACGAGCAGCGGCAGTCCAATGAACAAAGAAGCAATAAGAGTGGTATTCAATGTAACCACTATCATAGATATGTGCATATTAAAGCAAATTGTTGGTTCAATGATCAGAAGATGAACTTTGTAGTAGGGGCAGCAGGGAATGAGGAATAATAGAATAAGCTTTTTATGGCTCATATTCACAACGACCATAGGCTAAGTAATTTATGGTTTGTGGACAACAGTTGTTCAAGTCATATGACAGGCGCCAAATCTTTGTTCAAGGAGCTTGATGAGACGAAAAAATAAAGGTGAAGCTGGGCAACACAAATGAGATCCAGGTTGAAGGAAAAGGCACGGTGGGTGTCGACACTAGCCACGACAAAGTAAAATAACGTTCAATTCGTGCCTGATTTAGGATACAATTTATCGTGCCTCCTTTTTTCCTCCGCAGAGAAAGTCCGGGTTTCGACGTTCATGGGGGTAATAACTCATTTCCTTTTGGGATTTGGGTATTTGAAGAGTCTCCACCTAACGGATTATGGTGCGCTAGGGCACCTAGAGCGATTAACTCTTAGACGAGTTTGCATTACCAGAGATTTAGGGTAAGGGCTCGAAATAACCTTGAGGGGAAGGTGTTAGGCACCCCTCTCGGTCCACAACAGTGGGTCCCGACCGAACTTATACTTATGAATTAGTCCTTTAACAAATAAGTAGTTGAAACACATAATTGCAAATAAAGCATGTTGGACATTGTATGACTCAAATAATAAGACAAAGAATTTGAACAAGTTATGTACGTATAAAAAAAAAAGTAAAGTTTTAGACAAAGGAAATTTGGGAAGGAGGGGTCCTAGGTTGGTTAGCCTACAGGATCACCCCCACGCAATGCCCGGTAAACATTCCTCAATGAGGGGCTACACGTGACATTAACGTGTAGTCATCATATCCCGTTCTACCCAAGTCCCTCCCTTAGTCATAGCCTAAAGCGTTCTAGTAACCTTGACAATGTCCTATGCGTGCACTACCCGTCCCTTCCTCGTGGCCCCGAAGGTATTTTAGGGCCTCTATTCTTTGGACAGCTCTAAACTTTCCTAAGGTTCTAAAGGATAAAAATCTAGGCGACAATTAAAAACAGTTAGGAATGCATTTAAAGAAACAAGTTATAGGCTCACAGTTACCTCCTCAAACATAACAAATAAGTGCACGTCTTCAAGCAATATCCAAATACTTAAGAGAAAAAAATCCCAGAACATGATATCTCGGTGAGCAGGGGTTATATAGTG